CTGTACAGGTTTATTCTTCTAAGCTATACTGACCACTTCTTTTCCCATACAGGTTCATTCTTCTAAACTATACTGACCACTTCTGTTTCCGTACAGGCTCATTCTTCTAAACTATATTGACCACTTCTGTTCCCATACAGGTTCATTCTTCTGAACTATATTGACCACTTCTGTTTCCGTACAGGTTCATTCTTCTGAACTATGCTGTCTACAACCCTGTGATGGGCTACACGCAAGGTATGTCAGACCTTTTGGCTCCTATTCTGACTGAACTACGAGATGAAGCTGAGACATTCTGGTGTTTCGTTGGTCTCATGCAATGCACCATCTTTTTCAGTTCCCCTAAGGATACAGACATGGAGATAAACCTGGTGAATTTTACTTTTATTATAAACACACTTTCCTTGTTGCAGATAACTGGGGTAATTTATTTTATTTAAAATTGTTCAAATTAAGGAAGTTGTATTTTTAGAATTTAAAGAGTCTGAAGATGCTACAATAGACGTTTTATGTAAACTCACCTTTCATGTTCTACTGCTAGAACTACCTGCGTGAACTTGTGAGACTAATGGTACCAGAATTTGACTGTCATCTTCAGCATCATGCAGATGGTATGGAGCTACTCTTTGCTCATCGATGGATCCTCCTCTGTTTTAAGCGGGAGTTTCCTGAGTCTCAGGCTCTGAACATGTGGGAGGCATGCTGGGCTCACTATCAGACTGACTATTTCCACTTGTTTCTTTGTGTGGCCATCATCGCCATCTATGGTGAAGATGTCATAGCACAAGACCTGCGGACTGACGAGATGTTACTGTATTTTAGTAACCTGGCCATGCATATGGATGGAGATCTTGTTTTAAGAAAGGTGAGCAATCTTTACGATATATTAAAAAAAAAGGGTGAATAAAATATTAATTCTCTAATTTTCAAAGTCACCCATGTCTTAAAGGTTGTAGTTGGTTTACTTTCTTTAGGTCACACAGTTAGCAAGTATTAATTCTCTAACTTTCAAAGTCACCCATGTCTAAAAGGTTGTAGTAGGTTTATTTTCTTTAGGCCATCACATTTAGCCAGTATTAATTCTGTAACTTTCAAAGTCACCCATGTTTAAAAAGTTGTAGTAGGTTTACTTTCTTTAGGCCATCACATTTAGCATGTATTAATTCTGTAACTTTCAAAGTCACCCATGTTTTAAAGGTTGTAGTAGGTTTATTTTCTTTAGGTCATCACAGTTAGCAAGTATTAATTCTGTAACTTTCAAAGTTACCCATGTTTTAAAGGTTGTAGTAGGTTTATTTCTTTAGGCCATCACAGTTAACCTAGCTAACTGTGGTGACTTGAAGAAAGTAAACCTACTACAACCTTTTAGACATGGGTGACTTTGAAAGCTAGAGAAGTAATACAGCAACAAGTTTAATAGAACTAAAAGCTAACATATATTGCACCTAATCGTTTTGTGAATAATTTTTACAATATGTGTATTTGATAAGTACTGTATTTGGCCTTATTTGTTTCTTATCTAGCCTTGTAAGATATACTGACCACCACTTTTATAACTATTTATTTGATTGTTCTCATGATCAGTGAGAAAAAAATATATACATATATTAATTTTTTTTTCATCAGACCCCGAGTCACAAACGTATAATTTTTTCCAGGTTTGCTACAGCCTTACTGGCAGTGTTTGTGCTATGTATTATTTTTACAAGGGATTAGTAACTTATAAGAATTCTAATTCAGTATTAAATTTATTGCAAAAAATATGGCCAAGGAAAAAAAGTCACTACATATCATAGTGTTAGGCTTAAACACACAATAATTCAAGTGTGGCCCAGTGATTAGTGTGCCAGACTGTTGATCTAAAATTCGCCATCATTGCCTCTGGAAAACATCATCATGATCCTCCTTATAGGAGTGATAATCCAATCCCACTATTCAATTAGAGTTGCCTATGGGATACTTTCCCTCTAGTGTATCATTTCAAAGTAAGAAATAGTCCTCAAGTAACTTTGTACAAAAATTCAACAAACAAACTAGAGAAATTTATCTTGATTCTAATGCTAAATGTTAGTAGGTTGAGTAATGACAACAAGTGTACGTGTTTCTTAATTAATTACGGTACATTGCACAGCAGCTTTTGGTTAAGTTTCTGAGCAGTAATCTTAAAAATTAAATATCTGTATATATCAGTGGTTTAATTGTTTACAGACATGGCTTCTTTTTGAGAGTTATTATGAATTTTTAAAATGTCAGAAAAGAACCATAATGAAAAGTGTTTTTTCAACTAATAGAACTGCTTTTCTAACATGAATTTTTATAATAAGATTTTTTTTGAGCTTTCACTAGTGTGAAATAAAATTGGGAGGGAAAGTCTTCATAATTAGTATTGTATGTATTCAAAGTAATTTTTATATTCACAGCATGACAACTACTAATCAAGTTCCGTTAAGTTTAAGTGAAAAGTACATCCCTATTTAGATTACATTGTGTTACAAAGTGTTGGAGGAAAAGTCTTCATAAATGCTGTGAATATAAAAATTACTTTGAATACATACAATACTAAAACAACCACTAATCAAGTTCCGTTAAGTTTAAGTGAAAAGTACATCCCTATTTATATTACATTGTGTTATAAGGTGAAATGTGTACCATCTACTCTTTTGATCATTGTAAGTTTCTGATATTTATAAATAGGCTAGAGGCTTACTCCACCAGTTCCGGCTTCTGCCGAAAATACCTTGCACTTTGGCCAAAATTTGTGAACTGTGTGGTCCAGGAATGTGGGACAGCGGGTATGCTCCGGTAGTGGAATGTGTGGGTAACCATGGTAACCATTCATGCCCCCACGGAGGGCATGATCCAGCCCTGAAGTATATGTGAAAGAAGTTTAACGTGTTAACAGATCCGTGGTCGTTAATGTGTTAACAGACCTGTGGTCGTTTCACTTTCTTCTTTTTTATGATGGTGAAAAATGTTTCTGTAATCTCTGATGTGGCATGAAACCATAACAAAATTAAGAGATTTTTCTTCTCATTATAGAACATTGTTGTAAGCCATGATAACAGCCAGAAAAATATTTTATGTGTTTCAAGCGATTATATACTGTTTTTTAAACCTTTAATTATTTTTTTTTATTTTTCTCGTCACTGGGAACATTCACAGGTTTATATCTCTTTCGTGTAAATGTTAAAACATTGCTAATAGTATTAATCTTTTATTTGTTTTTTTGTGCACGTGTTTATATAGATACGCATAAGATTGTTTTCTTGTGAAAGGTAGATGCATATATTTGAAGTCGTGTTTCGAGCATGATTAAGATGAATACAAGATTTACATAAAAAAATTTTAAACTATATCAATATAAATAATAGTAGTAATAAATGTCTTTGTTTTTTTTATAAAATATGAACAGTTATTTCAAACCATTCCAGACATGCTTGATACAAAAATTAAATGTAATTTAAGTTACTAATCTAAGGGAGGAAGAGAATCCAAGTTTGTATGGTTAGCCAATCCCATGTAGAGTTAGTTCATTAGATAACACCTAGTAAGACAGTGTTAATACAAGCTAATGAAAGAAGTGATGAATATTGGATGTGTGGACATTAGAGAGAGAATTTAAAAAAGGAAGACCTTTCTATCAAAAAACAGCCTGAAAGAATTGTGAAGATTTTTCAGTTGAAGAGCTATTCACTTGTTCTCGTACGTTTTGTAGGTAATTAACATCTGTAGTTATTATTCATTATTAAATATTAATGAGTATAATGATTACCTATTTAATAAAATTTATTTTACCATCGAAAAGCTAATTTTCTGTGGTTACCATACCAACAGTGTTTTTAGTAATGAGAGTTTTATGTCAGATGAACATGTGTGAGTTTTAGGTAGTAGCCTGTTTAAATCCTTGGTCGAAAGGTACAAAAAACATTAGGGTACCAAGGTATTAAGATCCAAGTTAACCAGAATAATGGATGATCATGATCAGAAAGAAAGGTCCAGGGTACCTAGCTATTAAGATCCAAGTTAACCAGAATAATGGATGAGCATGATCAGGGCATGATCAGAAAGAAAGGTCCTTATCTATTATTCTGGTTAACTTGGATCTTAATAGCTAGGTACCCTGGACCTTTCTTTCTGATCATGCTTATCTATTATTCTGGTTAACTTGGATCTTAATACCTTGGACCTTTCTTTCTGATCATGATCATCCATTATTCTGGTTAACTTGGATCTTAATAGCTTGGTACCTTGGACCTTTCTTTCTGATCATGCTTATCTATTATTCTGGTTAACTTGGATCTTAATACCTTGGACCTTTCTTTCTGATCATGATCATCCATTATTCTGGTTGACTTGGATCTTAATACCTTGGTACCTTGGACCTTTCTTTCTGATCATGATCATCCATTATTCTGGTTAACTAGGATCTTAATACCTTGGTACCTTGGACCTTTCTTTCTGATCATGCTCATCCATTATTCTGGTTAACTTGGATCTTAATACCTTGGTACCCTGAACATTTCTAAACTCCACTTATTAGTGAAATAGTTAATGCAAAGTTAATTGGGAAACAGTTAATGGAGTCCAATCATTTGTTTGTATGATAAAAGCTTCATTCTGAAAATTTAAAGAACTAGACTAGATAACTTGTTTCATTGTCCTATCTTAAATAAGTTTTCAATAATCCCACTTATTACCATTTAAAAATAATTTTGTGTCTTCAATGAAATAATAAACCTAATCTCATCAGGAAGCACTCAACTTAATGCACATATATCAATATATACTCTTATGAACGTATTGAATTACATACTTATGTTACATTTAATTATTGTTATTGTAGAACTGTCATTGGGGTTTCACTAAAGAACACATTTTATAATGCAAATCCAGTTCTTTAATGATGGCTGAAATGTAACATTTTATTTGAACAAATTATATCAAAGCAGTTCAAACACTAGTCAGATTAAGATGTAGGTTTGAATCAGATTCTAGTCAATGATGACGAGGGGGTCAAACACTAATCAGAGTAAGATGTAGGCTTGAATCAGAATCTAGTCTGTGATGATGAGAGGTTCAAACACTAGTCAGTGTGAGATGTAGGTTTGAATCAGAAGCTAGTCTTTGATGATGAGGGGATCAAACACTAGTCAGTGTGAGATGTAGGTTTGAATCAGAAGCTAGTCTTTGATGATGAGGGGATCAAACACTAGTCAGTGTGAGATGTAGGTTTGAATCAGAAGCTAGTCTTTGATGATGAGGGGGTCAAACACTAATCAGAGTAAGATGTAGGTTTGAATCAGAATCTAGTCTTTGATGATGAGGGGTTCAAACACTCGTAAGTGTGAGATGTAGGTTTGAATCAGAAGCTAGTCTTTGATGATGAGGGGATCAAACACTAGTCAGTGTGAGATATAGGTTTGAATCTGAATCTAGTCTTTGATGATGAGGGGATCAAACACTAGTCAGTGTGAGATGTAGGTTTGAATCAGAATCTAGTCAGTAATGGTGAGAGGTTCAAACACTAATCAGTGTGAAATGTAGGTTTGAATCAGAATCTAGTCAGCAATGATGAATGTTATATTTTGATAGTGTTTATATGTAAAAATATTTTGTTTGTGACTTGTTCATACAGTGGTTTATAAAACCTATTTTGCACATCTTCTGTTTAAAGTTGTTGGTTTGTGTACTTGTTTTTAACATAATTTCGTGATTAAATTCTGTTTTGTTACTATAAGAGAGCAAAAAAGAAATTAATTTTCTGCTGTTTATCTCGTAGCTATCCTTTAGTGATATTAGTTTGTGAATTAACAATGTTTTTATTTTAATAGCTGGAGCACCTTCACTTCTAAATGTGCTTGAATTTCATATTGTCAGAAAATGCTTGAATGCATCTGTACACAGTTCATATGTGTGCTATAATGTCTCCAAGGCGAGTTACAAATTGTAATTGGTGTATGTGAACAAAAACTAAGTTCCTGCTTCTGTAATAAAACGATGTAGTCCCGTACAAATTTAACTGTTATCCTTAGTTCCTGCTTCTGTAATAAAACGATGTAGTCCCGTACAATTTAACTGTTATCCTTAGTTCCTGCTTGTGTAATAAAACAATGTAATCCGGTACAATTTAACTATCATCCTTATTTCTTACTTGTGTAATAAAACAATGTAGTCCCATACAATTTAACTGTTATCCTTAGTTCCTGCTTCTGTAATAAAACAATGTAGTCCTGTACAATTTAACTGTTATCCTTAGTTCCTGCTTCTGTAATAAAA